AAACCGATGAGTTAAACTCATCCAGATTCACTCGTGACTTCGTGGGATTGGGGAAGAGGTCTTACTCTGCTCTGTACAGTGGCTGTCTAGGGAGGATGGGTGTCTTAAATCTCATTGAAAGTGAAAGATGACATTTGATCGATAAGCGGAGTGCATGCTTACTTAATTTTCCCCCCAAAAGTGTTTTTTGTCTTCTTACATTACTCACGGATTAAGAACGGATGCTCCCTGGGCAAGAGAAATTTTTTTTTTTTTTTTAAGTGATGAAATAATTCTCGTGTGGATTTATTATAGCCAGTTTCTGTCGTATGACTAAGTCGGTGCTCAGTTTTAAATCTGTGCTCTATTGGATTGATTCGGTGCCCTAAAAATGGGACTTCAGTCACAACTGGATAAAGATTTCACAGATTCTCTGTGTGCTTGGCAGACTGCTGATTCTCTCTGTTTACAGTTTCCTGCCTGTTGTATCCTGCTTAGCTCAGAGAAGACTTGAGCTCATATGTGTAGGTGCTTTTAGCTTTCAGGAGGTAAAAGTATTACATGTTCATCACTGTATCTAAGACAATAAAAATGCAAAATAAAATTATTAAACCAGATTTTTTTAAAAAAATTGATTTTTATTTTATTTTTGCTATAGACCTGGTGATGACTGGAAGAAGACTTTAAAACTCCCTCCAAAGGATTTGAGAATCAAAACTTCGGTAAGGATGGTTGAATCGTAGGAACAAATATTAAATAAAAGATGTGGAAGAAGCTGTAGTGGCAAAACATTTTTCCTAAGCAAAGATTCAAAAGCGGTTCGGCTCTTGCTGTTGTAAATGAAAGATTAATTTGTTCCGCAACTGCCTGGGAGAGATGCTTCTCTTGGAAAGCTCGAAAACGGAGTTTACTGTGGATTTCTTACTTGATTAGTGTTGCAGCGTGGGACTGATTGTCAGTATCTCTTGTAAGGTAGATCGAAAGATGTCAGCGTACGTTCACGGTACTGTATTTGGTTGCAAGAAAGCTGACGTTTCCCTCCCCACTGTACGGTATTGCACAGATTGGTGGGAACTTCTATATAGTAATGGAATGCGCTTTGTGGTCTTCCTGCGTAGGCAATCTCTCGTTGAGTCAGACCAGTCTACGGCTGCGGGTTCTATGACCTAATCTTATGGATGTGCTTTTTTTGATTATTCAGGACGTGACCTCCACAAAAGGAAACGAGTTTGAAGATTACTGTTTGAAACGGGAGTTGCTGATGGGAATTTTTGAAATGGGCTGGGAAAAACCATCTCCTATTCAGGTTGTTTACAAACAGACTACTTTTAAGCAGCATTTAATTTTTATAAATTTATTGAAATTCTTACTTGTGCTTATACGTCAGATACTCGTGCCACGATTTGGGAAACTGAGGTTGTGAACGGTAGGATTTGGTGGCCCTTTGGGGAAGGCGAGGCTTTCTAGCGCCTGACTAAATCACTGAGTCGTGCAATGGGTGACTTAAAGATGGGACCAACTTTAGAGGCTTTAGAGAAGTTAACTTGGATTTGCCTTTGCACTCTGGAGGCATTAGTGTGATAAGCCTCTGTTCAGTAACATCCTTCACGGAAGTAGTCCTGGTGAGAACGGGGCTGTTCTGTAAATTTTCCAGAAAACTGAGTTGCCATAGGCTGCATACCTTTAGTTGTTACAGAGAAAACTATGGCTTTATCGCACAGTCTTAGCATTTTTTATCATAAGCATCTGGAAAGAGCGTAATGGCGATTATGGGAGAGAGATTAATACATGAGCAAGTTTACTTCTCTATCCCTCCATCTTGCTTTTACCTTTCAGGCTTGTTCTATTAAGAACCGTTGATGTGTAAACTTCAGGGTGGGTGGGGAGATCGAACGCTCTTTTAATTGCTCTTTGGAGGATTATCGTTGACACAGCTCTGCCACTTTATCTCCTTAAGGCATGAGAAAGCTACGGCTTTTAGGTAATTTGTCCGCTTCAAAACAGATTCTAACCGTGCCGCCTTTCCAAAAGGCTGAGGGTTCTTTAGGTGTTGCTGTAAAAGACAGTAAAGTACAAAATACTCGAGGCCTGTGTTTGGATGGCTGAAGTTTCAAAAGGAAAGCCTGCTGGCTTTATGAGAAGTGTATCAGAGGAGCGTGCAGGTTTGAATTACGCAGGCTGAGGCGGTTCTGATGTTAAGAGGTAGATGGGTGTCTTTTCCCATAGGAGCTTGCTAGTGACTGTCACAGTCTCTTCATTTTTTTCCCTAATTTTTCACTTTTTTCCTAATGTCTCAGTTACGGGTTTACCATTCCTGTGGTACCTGATCCCTGGTTCTCTTATGACCAGGCAAGACAAGGACTTCTAAGTGGGCTATGGGGAGCAGAGCTATTGCTTTGTTGGGGAACTCTTTAGCAGTGGGTTGAACTCCTTCCTGCTGTGAGTCTGCGATGCTTGCAGTTGCAGGATATTCTGTTCGTGGAATGAGCAGATTTCACGTGATGCTGTTAGTGAGGAAAGTTACAGTTGGCCAGCCTCTTTAGCAAGCATGGCTTACGATTGCTCATGCGCTGTCTGTCATTGCATTTCAGGAGGAGAGCATCCCCATTGCTTTATCTGGTAGGGATATCTTGGCTAGAGCGAAAAATGGAACAGGCAAGAGTGGAGCCTACCTCATTCCTTTACTTGAACGGCTAGACTTAAAGAAGGACAATATACAAGGTCAGTTGAGATGGATCTCGCTTAGCTGCAGCCAGGTAATGGTATCTGTTGCTATGTAGCAGACTTGAATTTGAAACTGGTCAATGAAATGGAGCAGCGTAGGTTATCTGCTTGTGCTTTCAAAGAAAGTTAATGGGGAGTGGTGGAGGGGAGGGGAGTTTTAAAAGTCCCACGGTTGCTCTCAAAGTCTTGAAATGGAAGACATCTTCCGGACTTTACCATCTTGCCCTGGAAAGTGGATTTGGAGGAATAGGCAAGCGTGCTGGCTGGGGGGCTAGCACGGAGGGAGTATCCAGGGGGTAGAGAACCCTTGCATGGAATTTGCCTTGTCGTAAGCAGTTTCTGGGTCTTGTTCAGGTTATCCAGAGTGGAACTCCAAAACCGTAGAAATATAGCTTTCATAAAGTTTCTGTCTCCTCTGAGGCTTAGCGTTTAAGGTACGGCGCGTTACTAGTAACTCACACTGCTGCTTTTAACTTTCAGCAATGGTGATTGTTCCCACCCGTGAACTAGCCCTGCAGGTCAGTCAAATCTGTATCCAAGTCAGCAAACACATGGGAGGTGCCAAAGTGATGGCAACAACGGGAGGAACCAATTTGCGAGATGACATAATGAGGCTTGATGATACAGGTTGGAGCACTTTTGCTACGCTACAGTTGCTGTTTGTTTTTAGCTTTTACAGTGGCAGTGGAATTTCTGCTTGTTGTTATTGTTTGCCTGTTAGAGAACAGACTACAATATGTCGTGTTCACTGTTTGTGTGCTGTCATTGTTCTCTCAAACTGTTGTATGAAACGTGGCCACGAATGCTGGAAACATTGCTTTAGTTGCCTTAACCTTTTCCTTTTTTTTTTTTGTTTTTTTTGTTTTCCTCTCTTCTAACCTTACAGTGCATGTGGTGATAGCTACCCCTGGGAGAATTCTCGATCTCATCAAGAAAGGAGTAGCAAAAGTTGAGCATGTCCAGATGATAGTATTGGATGAGGCAAGTTGCTCACGTTAAACATTTTTGGATTTTAACACTGAGTTAAAGCAATGATGTGGTTCAGCGAGTCTCCTTGTTATGCACAGCAGCAAATCAAAAACTTTGCTTAGTGACACTATAAGGTTATAGCTCATCCATTTCTCAGTATTTTTGAGATGGTATTTTGGCAGAAGAATTTTTCTGCATGTGAATCTTTTAAAAAAACAACCTAGGAAGATTTGCCTTTCCTGTCGTCTTTGCTGTTCCCAAAGAATAGATTAACAGCCTTTTCTGAAACAAAGGAATACGTTTCATTTGGTTTCGGTTTATAACAAGCGAGCTGTGCTTGCCACATAATTGTATACAAAACTGACTTATGAACATCCAATAGCGTACAGGCTTCCAAGTGAGAAAGTACTTGCGTGAAACCTCTTGGATGACTCTGATAGGAACCCTGATGACCGTTCTCAGTTTAGATTCTGTTTATGTATCCTGAATTTGATTCTGTTTAAATCAAAGCGCTGAAAACCGGAAGAGAGTAAACTTCAATTTACCGATGAATCCTGTGTGCAGCAGCTAAATCGCACATCTTTTGGAGCATGGTGTATGCTCCAAAGGGGACGGTCCCATCATAAGGGCAGGGAGAATGCAAAACAGTGGTGTTTTGTTTTGGTTGTGGTCCCATCCT